TCCTGTGGCAGTGAGGTAGAGTGATGTCTTTACTAGGATAGTGTAGCTCACTCCTTACTTAACCATTTCAGATCAGGAAGACGTGGTTCCTGAGCCCGTTCCGCAGGAAGACGGCGAATGGGACGCCTAAAGACTCCGCGGTTATATTTATAGCTTTTATTATCGAGTTTCTCTTTTAGTTAGTTTGTTCTTTTATACTTTGAGCACGTTTTTGGTTTTAGTGTAAGGGATGTTAATCAAAATTTTTATTACGCTTCCGCATTTGACCTTTTTAATACACATATTCAATTTTAAAATTTCGGGGCCGTTACATATTTAATGTAAAGAACTCACTTATTTCTCTTTATATTTTTTTCTCATAAACTCATATTCAATAAAAGGCTCTGTTACCATATTTTAGTTTTTCTAGGTGAAGAAAGTTTGAATTTTTATTGATTTAAGAAATAGTAACTTAGTGTGTCGTTAAATAAACTTACATATAAACTAATATTCTAAAAATAAAATACTACTTATTATATGATACCTACAAGATAAACATGTATCAAATCTCTTAAAAGATAAATTTTTACTAATTAGATAATATTTAGAATATAAATATTGATCAAATCTAATTAAGTGATAAATCTTATTTAAATTCAAATTATCAAATAAAATAAATGATAATTTCTACGTTAATTTTTATAGAAATCAAGTAGTCAAGGTTGTCCAAATGAAGATCAAGGTGGATTGAGCAAACCATGACCACACAAGGACAAACAAGACAAATAAGGCTCGACATGATGAATGATGGACTTAGCCTACTTTAGAAAAAGTATAATAATGCCTAGTGGACAATAACAAGAGCAAGAGTGATGTGAGCACAGATGGCTTGAACTATTAAAATAACTAACCAAGCTTTAGAGGCCATTGGATTATCTAAAGTAAGTTTCAAGAGCCTAAACTCATCTAAGAGAAGTTACAAGCAGTCAAAAGGAAGATCCATGCAACAAAGGACATCCAAACTAAGAGCAAAATGGATTGGCCCATAAACAAAGGCCATATGAAGAGAATAAAACCAAGTATAGCATGGACATCATAAATGATGGACTTAGACCACTTGGAAGGAGCATCATGATGTCTAGTGGGCCTATTACAAGGGTAAGGGCCAAAATATGTAAACAAGCCTTCCAACTTTTTATCCAACGGTGGATAAGTGGAGAAGAAAGACTTGAACCAAGCATAGAAGCCCATAAGGGAAAAAGAATAAGCCCATTCAGCCAAGGACAAAGGCATCCATGCATGCTCATCCCAAATGAAAGAAGTAGCCAAGACAAACATATGGAGAATTTCTAAAACCATGGGGGATATTTTTCCCCAAATAAGAAATATTTTTAAG